TATAACATTTATTTATTTATTATTTATTTAATAAATAAAGTGTTTGCATTTTATGTGAATACAGAGGTATTTTTTTTCATATTTCCTGTTTACTTGAAACTGTGCATAATATAACAGCAGCAATAAAGTTATAAACTACTGTTAAAGAAGTTGGAACATTTGGGATCATTTATATGAATTCGAATAAAAAGGCGACAGAAATATAATCATAAATAATGGTAAAATTATTTCACGTCTGCACAAATGGTACGGGTCTTGCGATTTTTAATGTCGCCTGAATCGGTCCAAATCGGCCTCTCTTCTTTTCTGGCTGTTGCGTATGCGTATTTTATCTATCTATGGCCTACGTATATCCTAGTATGGTATAGTCGAAATAAGAAGGCAAAGTCCCCAAAAATAATGCACACTAAAGACATATCGTTTTTCTTCTTTTTACAAACGGAAGATATCCTGTCTTTACTCTCTAAACACGCCTCCTCCACAGCTGCGTCGAGACCTGCACCTACGTTTCATAAGAATCAATCGAATAAAATGAGACGATCCACAACATACTTGTCTTGTCATTTGTACCTACATAAAATGGGCAAACTTACAGGATACTGTTTACGGTATGGTAGCTAAAAAACGATGAAAAGAACAATCATATTTTTAGATGTGTGGGTGAATACAGATTCATTCAATCTGTTTTGATGTACAATCGAAATTATATAAATATTATTGCTTTGAATTATCTTAGATCTTACATTTTTCACCATACTGTAGCACGACAACTACCTTAAGACGATCCTGTAAATTTGCTCATTTAATGTACGTACAGACAACATGACAAGCAGGTTTCCAACCGTCTCATTATATTCCATGGATTCTTATGAAACGTAGGTGCAGGCATCGACGCAGCTGTGGAGGAGGCTTGTCTAGAGAATAAAGACAGGACATCTTCCGTTTGTAAGAACGAGAAAAACGATATGCCTTTAGTGTGCATTATTTATTAGGGACTTTGCCTTCTTATTTCGACTGTACTATACATCTATTATCTAAGGATATGACCATAGAAGCATAACCTAAAATCTACATAACCTGTAGCAATCAGTTTGAGTAAATTGAAGAAAATATTGAAAACAATAGTTTATTTTTCTATTTTATACCACACATTTGACTTACAAATGCACGCAAACATTTAAGACCTGAGGCACATTTAAGATGGTGAATTCGNTAATTTTCTACTTCGTGCTTTAAACGTTCAACATTAAAAAAAGTAGTGTACATATGGAATGAAATTGTAACTAAACAATAGGCGATTTCTAATTAGAAACTCTTATTAAAAAAGTCAATCGAAAGTAGTCCTAAGCAACCCTTCGATCTTTATATGCAGTAAAATACACACCCATAAACATTTAGTCCGCTCTGTTCTTTACAATTGATTAGCCAAAATAGGCGACTTTTAATTAAATATTATCATTACTAGAAAGCATTTTGGATATTGAAAGTAGGTATAAACAACACTTCCATCTTTTAATTAAACGTTTTAATAGTCAGTTCCAAAATGTTGCACTATCAGCTATTTCAGTTAGAAGTCTACAAGGCAAAAACATTTTTTTTTGCTATTTTTATTGGATAAACTTTTAAATTACTTAATAGTCAGGTAAATCTTCACATTTCCCTTAACTATTTATGAACAGGAATCTAATCTAAATCTACCTCAATCAATTGAATTTTTGTGTATATATTTCAATGAAATTTAAAATTTACAATTTTATATCTTAATTGTATTTCAGCTTTTAAACCAAAAACTTTTAACCTATGGGTACATAGCCGCCCGACCTGCCCCCCCCCCTTAAAGCCAACACTGGAAGTATCATAAAGCAACTGCTTAAAACTAGGCCTTGTTCTTGTATATCTACATATAAATTTTTAATAAAATACCATAATAAATTTTCCAAACTCCTTGATACAAAACTTTCCATTCTCAAGGGAAATTATTTGAGTTTGTCCAAATACAGATTTTAAGAAGTGAGTAGTTCCTATTATTTGACCACAAATAGTTGTTTTCTTCTCTTCTGAGAGCCATGAAGGGCAAAAATACACAACTGCTAAAGCTGGATCATCATATTCATGCTTTACCAAATCAGTATTATAAACAAATACGATTGTTAGCTCCCTACAATAATAAATTACAAATAAAAACTAATTCCTCCTTCAGCTTAATGAGGCAGATGTAATACTTACTTCGACATTTTTAAATCAATTTACATTTTAAATAAATTGGTTTGTTTCTACTGTATGCAGAAATATGATCAAATATCAATTGCGATGAATGGGTGAATGATAAATTTATTAAGCAGTCTGATAAAATAACTGAAAATAATAAAAGAACAATATCAATGATACCATAACCACATAACAGCCAATTCAAGCTGTCACACCATGATGAGCCACGAATATAGTCGAACGTTGACAACCTATTATCTATGTTGACAGCTTAAGAACAAATTATACTTCATTTAC